ATTGATAAGATATCTTTGACGATGGCCAGATGCAACTTTAACCAACTATTGAGCAATTCTAATGATAGTAATTATTATTTTATGACGAAATTCAAGAGTGAATTCAAAAGACTTGAATACTATTTCAAAGGTACTTGAATAGTTTTGAATTTATGCAAATTGTACATTCGCTTATTTATCAAATATTGAGTCACGTGTATGATAATTCAAATGAACTAATATATAGATTAGAGATAAAGAGAACAAGGAAGTTATTGCCAAAAACATCTGAAACCTGAGATAAAATTTTGTTCATTAAAGAAAACATGATACTTACAGGCAGGACTATCGCGGTGAATAATCTAGATTATTTTTAACAAAACAGAGAAACGATCATCTTTACTTGAAAACGATCGGTGTGAAACGCAACCTCGCACTATTATTCTGTTTCCTTATTCTATTCTGTCGTTTTATATGTACGTGAACAATAAAGTATTTATTTGCTTATACAACCATCCTCTGGTCATTTACTCACTCAACTAGAATAATTTAACTTATTCTCCACAATAGTCTTACCTGCAAATATTATGTTTCCTTTAATGAACATAATTTTGTCTCAGGTGTATTTGGCAATAACTTTCTTGTCTATTATAGATCAATCATGTAAAATGGTGTAACACATCGAACTACTAATCACAAAAATTGTACTACCTCTCTCTCGTAATAACAGAAGCAAGTAAATATTTAAACGGAAATTATTGGAGAATGCAACTGTAATTAGAAAATACAGAGATATTATTCGTGATGTGATGAATAAAAAAATAAAATTTAGCATGGAAGTGCAGAACAGAAAATAGAGAATTCCTACAATGCCAGTAGTTCCTTGATCGACAGGATCTATGCGATCTATGAGATCAACAACGTGTGAGCTGTCACACATTAAACGCGTTACGATTGGATCGCGGCTTTTATCAAATACGATAGTTAATTCCTAATGATAATGGAATTATCTGGGATACTTATATCAAACTCTTGCGATGCAATGCGAAATTCATTGTTATAGTACTATTCTTGGAAAGAGTGCCGTTCATATTTATAACCTTAACGTCGTGATGTGATATTAAATATACGAATATATTGTATCCTTTTATTAACATTCTTCAATTTTAATCTTATAACTCGGTTATCAACAGTTCCATCGTTTACAGTTACGAGCAACGTGTAAAAATCGCAACGTATTGAACGCAAGCTAGAGTGACAGAAAGAAGCTGCGAATTAATTCGTTTCAGTCTTGTTATGGTGAATTACAATTTAAGTGGATCTGCAATCGACGTTCCATTCCCCTCCCTCACACGTTAGATCATTTTCTGAGTCAGGAAAATCCATGTTTCTTTGTCATATAACTACTTTATAATCCATTTCTGTGTTAACGTGTCTCTCTACTATTTCGTGCTTTTCAAATCTCTATTATTATTTGTATTATTATTTGTATTCTATAATTAATAAAAATCAGATGCATAGACAGGATTCTTTTAATCATGACATAAAATTGTGTAATACAAATTGGGAAACTATATACTGTGTCAAAAGTTTCACTTAACATTATACATTCAGTTATTTACTGATATATCTGCAACATATTAGTAACAATGTGCGACGATACATCTAATGATGGAAAGACTCAAACTTATACTGCAGAGCATGTGATCACTCCAGATTCTGAGTTCGATGATGCACTAGGTGTACCTGATTCACTGGAAATAACTACGAATGAAAATGAAGACACTATAAATGCGGACGGTAGAGAAGATATAGATAGTAGAGGTGAGTTAATGACTTCGGTTTGCCACTTTCTGTGAACTCTATTAGTACCACTTAACAGTCCATCATTCTAACTATGATGAAACGTATCCATATGTTGTCTTTGTTCATACTAGAACGTCTTGGCGTGATACCTTTCTCTGCCATACACGAATTACCGAAAACATTTAAAACCCAGCAATACAACATTTTCATTCCTGGAGAGGAAGTGCATGTAAGCATCATAGACAATGAACGTAGTGTCACAACGCATCCCCTCAATCCGAATTTGTACACTATCGAGTTCAGGCATGGCCCCTTCTCATGGACGATTAAAAAACGATACAAACACATACAGTATTTGCATAATCAATTGAAAATATACCGTGCTAGTTTAAACATACCATTCCCAACAAAAAGTCATAAGGAGAGGAGAATCAGCTTAAAAAGCTTGGAGGAATCAAAAGAGAGAAAGGGTCGTAGAGGTGCACTGCCAAGGTATGGAAACAATCAATTCATATTTTAAATATGAATTATTCAAATGAATTTCATTTCAGGTTTCCAAACAGGCCCGATGTTCTAGTACCATACGAACAGTTAGAGCACAGGAAGAAAGTATTAGAAGAGTACCTGACGAATCTATTGAAAATAAAAATTTACTTGCGCCATCCAGAAACAGTAAGTTATTGCAATGTCATATCGTGGGACACGTGCTAAATTGTAAAATGCTTTCAGATCAATTTCTTGGAAGTTTCGTATTTATCATTCATAGAAGATTTAGGGATGAAGGGTAAAGAGGGGAACGTTTTGAAACGGACTGGATCCGGTGCGAGAAGCAGATGGAATTTCTGCGGCCTGCTCGAAGGCATGTGTTGCGTTAGATGTAATCATTTTTGCACGTCCCTATGCGGGAAATGGCATTCCCGACACCTCGTCGTTAAAGAAACTTTCGTTGCCTACATTAGGCCCAAAGACGGTAATATAAAGTCGGTGATTCTGATGGATAATGGTTTCGGAATCAGTTTCGGCATGTACACAACGGGAATGAGAAACGGCATGCAAATAGTAAATCTCAGCAGGCACATAGTGATTAAATGTTGGACAAGAAGACAAGCTAAAGAATGGATGGACTTTATACAGAAAGTTAGCCAGAGAGAAGGTACGAATAGAAAAATTCAGAGAAGGCTTGAATTAATGAATTACGTATCGCAGGTCGCGATTTCGTACAAACGAATCCACACAGTTCGTTTGCCCCTTATCGTTCTCATATACCTGCTTCATGGTTCGTTGATGGATCGAGCTACATGTCCGCAGTCGCAGACGCGTTAGAAAAAGCCAAAGAGGAAATTTTTATTGCGGATTGGTGGCTGTCACCTGAGATTTATATGAAGAGGCCAGCCATGAACTGCGATTATTGGCGACTGGATAAAATTTTAGAAAGGAAAGCAGTAAGTATTAATGGGAATTAATAGACTGTGGATTTTTATGTAAAATAGAATATTTGAAATACACCGTCGGGGAATGAATGCTTTTAACATTTCAATCATAAATCGTATGCAATATTCAAACACCACATTTGTATCTCTTATAAATGCGTAAAAATCCGCAGTCTATTAATTCCGTGTGGTTAAACAAAACTGTAATTGCAATGCACGATTGATAGAACGCCTCCACGAATTGTAACAATAATTTCTGAAATTTTACAACGTGCGAGCATAATTAATAGAAGAATGCGACGAGTCCACGATAAATACGCAGCCCCTTGCAACAGTGTGGCGCCATTCGTCTCACGAGCAAGTGCATAAGAAGAACAAAGGAGAAAAAGACAGATGGTCAGGACGAGAGAGAGAGGGAGAGGAGTCATCGCCTATTTATAAAGCATTAGCGGCGAGGTGAAGTTTAATCAGGCTCGTGGCGCGTCCCGCGGTGCCTCTATTTATTGCTTCTTGGTTGATCAATAAGTTAAATGTTGGGATACAGGCCGGGGGCGGGAGGTGGCCGTCGTTTACGCGAGGCGCGGGGGATATTTTCGGGTCGAGTGCCGATAAAAGTACACTCCCGGACGGCCGATGTTATTGACGGCACTCCATCATCCCGCGTAGGTAGGGTATCGTCGCGACGACGATAGCTATTCCACGACCCCATGGGATCTCGTCCGCGATCTTTCCCGGAACGACTGGTTCGAAAAAATAACGCGGAATTAGGGCAAACTCGAAACACGTGTCAACTGCGTGCGAACCTTATATTTAAGATCAGTCTGGCTATGATTATAGTGATACTCGTTTGAAACTTTGCAAATGAGTTAACCTTCTGATAGTGGAGACAATGAAAATAAAAATGTCTTCCATCGATTCAGTGACACAGAAATTGGGAAAGTATGTTAGAGGATGATTCAATTCAATCGAGAGGATGAGTCGTTTATTGTTACTGTTTCGTACAAGGATGAAGCGTACGTAATGGGAAAGATCGACCTTGGACCGGCTCCGAGGATCGATTTTCAATTTCCTCGCGTTGCAGTGTAATTCTCCGGTAAAGAATTACGCACACCGCGCCGCCGGTAGTTTGTTACTGCCGTTTGATAGCAGTGACGCCAGCCAGCTGGCCATTCTTCGTCAACCTCGTTATTATTTACCACGCCCTGAACATTTTCCACTTTACATGCATGCTCTTCCTTTTCCTAATTGAATTTTCACTTCCTCTCAATTTATGTTAAAATAATTCATTCATAAAAGCTTAACAAGCACAATGTTCTTTTTCGTTTCTTCTCAAGTCGTTCACAAGATCACTTACTGAATAATTCGAAACGTGTACTTGATATAAAACAGAAGTTAGCAAGCCACGAGTAAGTAAATGATCGTAATTTATGTTTCAGGTAGGACCGTCCCAGTACTTACTTGTATCTGCAACACATTCACGTAAGTTACACGCGAAAGAATTGCGGCAATTACAAAAACAGAGACGTAGGGTGTAGGTAGCTCGGTAGATTTACGTTGATTAAAGCAACAAGGTAAAAGGGGGTGCAGCTGTTTTCTTTAAATCNTGATCTACAAGGAAGTAGAAGTTGCGCTCGGTATAAATAGCTACTACAGCAAAAAACGATTAATTGAAAAATGTCCTGACAATATAAAGGTGTTGCGTCATCCAGATCATGCAAGAGTTGGTGTATTTCTGTGGGCACATCATGAAAAAATTGTAGTCGTCGATCAAAGCATCGCTTTTCTAGGTGGTATTGATTTATGTTACGGGCGATGGGATAATAACGAACATAGACTAATAGATCTGGGTAGGTGAAAAAACTTAATGCTTTTAATAACAATGTACAACGCAGAATTTTTTTGCAATATCCACTACATGGTTCTTATAGAGTTTCTCATGCCAAAAACAAATCCGGAAGCACGAATGTTCTATCATGTACGGTTTCCGAAAAATAGCGGTTTTTGTATTTAATTAATACACTTTATACTTTGTTATAGGAAGCACCCACCAATCTAGTATATATATTCCTCACAAAAGTAAATTTACTAATACAAGCAGTAAAAAAGTGTCGAATGCCACTATCAATAAAGGTGTTTTATTATCACTGGCAATTGCAACGAACACGATTGTAATGGCCACCACGAAATCTATTCCTATGTTGTAAGTTTCTATCTTTATATTTCTTACAAGCTCCTTACTTTCAATCTTTGAATTAAATTTATAATTTTGTAGGCCAATGAGAGCAATGCCTTTAGCATTGCCACAATTAAATCCCGGTGATTTATTATTCATGCAATCAATGGAAGAACCAGATACCATGAAGTGCGATACCCCAACTACAGAGCGCAAGAATCTATTTGGCATGGCGAAAGATACCGTAGATAAAGTGAAACATAATATTAAATTGAAAAGGCAGGAGTTGATTAATATGGTTTATAATCCGCACGAAGGAAATAGCGACGAAGAAGATATAAAGGACAAGTAAATTTACATGTTGATAATATGTACAATATGAATTAAAGAATATGTATATTAATATCGATAATACATTTTCAGCGATACAGAACAAACTCTGATCGAAACTAGATCGTCTTTGGCATACAGTTTAGACGAAGATGTAGCTTCAGATTATTCTGGAATAGCCAAACTTTGGCTAGGCAAGGATTACGTGAATTTCATAGTGAAAGATTTCAATGATCTCGAAAAACCTTATCAAGACTTAGTTGACAGAAGCAATACTCCTAGAATGCCTTGGCACGATATAGGAGTCATGGTGCAAGGCGCGGCAGCTCGAGATGTTGCGAGACACTTTATACAACGCTGGAACGCAATTAAAGTAAGTCTTCATTAATTCAATTATTAGAAACGATGTTTAATGTATACAATTTGTATCTGCAGTTGGAGAAGGCGAAATTGAACTCGTGTTATCCATTCTTGCTTCCAAAGTCCTATAGAGATTGTAACATCTCTGTACCTTTCATTGAGAAGACTGCTGTACACAATGTTAAGTGCCAAGTATTGAGATCAGTTAGCTCTTGGTCTGCAGGTTTTCTCGATTCAGAAACGTTGGAACGAAGTATACAGGAAGCTTACATTGAAGCAATCAGTAAAGCAGAGAGGTAAAAATCCTTTAGAAGAATTGATGTAATTGTACGATGAACCGTATAACATTCTTTTTTTAGATATATTTATATTGAAAACCAATTCTTCATAACTCTCGCATCCATGGAACGGACAGCAGTGAAGAATCGTATAGGAGAGACATTGTTAAAACGAATTTTAAGGGCACATCGAGAAGGTGCTGTGTTCAGAGTATTCGTGATAATGCCTTTATTACCTGGTTTCGAGGGCGAAGTTGGAGGCCCGACCGGCACTGCTCTACGCGCAATCACACACTGGAATTACGCTTCTATATCCAGGTATTTGACAATCAGACATTGCTAGAGATCTCTTTATTAAAACCAAATATCTACTGAAGACATTATTCGAAAATAATCATTCAAAATAATGTTATGTGTAAGAAAGCTTGCATATTTTATCAGTCGAAAAAGAATTAATTGGGAGCGTTTTATTTTCAGAGGTAAAGATGCTATCCTGAATCGATTGATGGACGAGGGAATAGAGGATCCTAGCGAGTACATCACATTCCATGGATTAAGGTCCCACGCGATGTTGAATGGATCATTAGTCACGGAACTAATTTATGTTCACAGCAAGCTACTAATTGTTGATGATAATACAGTCATCTGTGGTTCCGCTAATATTAACGATCGAAGTATGGTAGCGACGAGGGATAGTGAAATCGCAGTTATAATTCATGTAATTATTATTATTACGATTCAATTATATAAAATCTTTAAATATTTTATTATTTAACATCATTTTATGCTTACAGGATCAAGAATTTGAAGATGGTAGAATGAACGATATACCGTTTCGTTGCGGTAAATTCGCAGGATCGTTACGGAAACAATTAGTGTCTGAGCATTTGGGATTGTTAAAGACAAACGAGGATATAGATATAACTGATATAATTAAAAGATCGTTCTATAAAGATGTATGGTGCGCCAGGAGTGCTCAGAACACTAACATCTATGAGGAAGTGTTTCACTGTATTCCTACAGACAAAGTTGTTAACTTTTCTATGCTGAAGCAATACCAAGACGAGGAACCACTTTCTTTATCGAATCCACTTTTAGCTCAAGAAATGGTCGAACAGATTAAGGTATAATCAACTCGGCAAATGTTAACAAGTACAGCTTGGGACAACAATTCTCGACCTGTTTTTCAGGGCGTTAGTTTTCTTTAGAATAACAAGACTCGAAAATAGTAATAACTATATGCCTGATTTGTTCAATGCTCGATTACGGGGTAGACACTGTCCCAAGCTATAAATTAATAAATTTTAACTATTGCATGTTTTCTAAATTACAGGGGCACTTGGTGAACATGCCACTGAACTTTTTATGTAACGAGGATCTGAAGCCGGCTGCTGGAACAGTTGAAGGCATAATGCCGACAGCATTATGGACATAAGATTTTATAATGGGTTTTTGATTGACAGTTTTAATACTTTTTGCAATTACGAAGATATTAATTCGAAGATTCAAGTTAAATGTATCACTGATCAGAGTACAAATGACGTCTGTGTATTTGTGGCTCAGCATTTTATCGTAGAAGTATTAATGATTTTAAGAATCAGAAAAATATGTATTAATTGTTAGTGGTCCAGATGGATCATAATTGCGACATTCCATACAACTTACCTCTTCATGGACAGCTATGAAATGTTGTTGTTGCCGTATTGATAATTGCTCATTCACAATTGTTTTTATCTTTCATCATGTGTGATAAAACTTTTTCTATAACAGAACGCTTATAACAATACTTAAATATTGTGCCTCTCAACGAGTTTTCTTTTATTGTGAATTCTAATGCTATTTTATTTTGTAACGTTATTTATTTATACCGAACGATTCACCAAATTAAATTGACACGTATTAAAAAGTGCACAGCATCTTTTTCTTCATACATCAAAGATCAAAACAGAACCGACACTTTAGAACTGAATAACTTTTTTAAAATCGAACGAAACTACACGAATTTTTAGATAGATTCGTTTACTGACCCTTCAAACTAAATTGTTTCCTTCGTTTTACAACTCCGCGCATGTTTCATACGCACGTCTGTTTCCCACCGTTTTCCGTGCTTCTCTCATCCGGTTCCAACGGTTCCAATCGTTCCAACAAGACATATGTCTGGTACATCACGCTTGCGTGTTGATGGATAAAGCTATCGTGGCAATGCGTTGAATACGGTTTTTTATTCTGAATAAGAATAGTGCAATATTCTTTGTATAGAATTCCTTGTAGTACGTAAAAAATGACGTATTTAAGTTCGTGGGAAGAATTCGAGAAGGGAGCGGAGAGGTTATATCTCCAAGATCCGATGAAGGTACGTTTCGTTCGAATTAACATTAATTTATTTCTATTTCCGATACGGGACGTAAGGAATCGTCTGTAGTTTAAAATTGAATCGATAAATACGTCAATTTCATTCAATAATGTAACAAATTTCGATGAGTTCTAAACCTTAACCAAGACGTGACAGCGTGACATGTCATGTATGTAAATATTTAAATACTACTTGAAGCTCTGTTAGGAAATGTAAATTTGCGTTACTTTCGTCGATTCATAAACGAGAAAACTGCATTCTATGTACAAATACTTATTTTCACGTTGAGCCGTGTGTAGAAGTAATAGTATCGTAGAGACGGATGAAATTCATAAATTATTTGAATAGTCGTTAGGTTTATAATTTATTATTTTTGTGTGTTTCAGGCTCGGTATACAATGAAATATTGCCACAATAAAGGTGTCCTATGTCTAAAGCTTACAGACAATCGTACAGTATGCATTTATCCTTATGTAACTTACCTTATAACTCTTATAAGTTCATTTAAATAATACATTTATAATCTTCTTTGACAGTGTCTACAGTACAAAACAGAGATAGCACAGGACTTAAAGAAGATGGAGAAATTTATAGGAAACTTGATGAGGCACATGGCGTCCAAGGAAAGTTAAACATAAGGACTAGATAAGAGTAGGGAAACATTTTTTTAAACGAAGGAATGTAAAAGTGCTGCGCATTTAATTCATTGTTTATCTTGTTCCATTTCATAAGATTCAGTGACTGAGGGGATTATAGATATTTAATTTGAGAATGAGGTATAAAAAACTTTCTTAAATACACAATATGTGCATGAACATCTATTTTCTATTTATTTTAAAGCTTCATGCTTATTTCGGCCGGTTCCGTTGCCTCCTTGTTAAAGTTCTGAAACAGTACAAATTCAAATGTATCACAGACTTGTCCGTAAAGTAATCCGTTTCGAAACAAATAAACCATACAAGAAATCGAACAAACATGATCACTAAACAGCGGATTTTAGGCACTTAAACCAGAATTGCCAAAAATTATGAACGTTACGTGTAATGTGCAAAACTACGAAGTACCAAAAGCTGAATGCATATTTCACTGTTCTAATAATGAAATAAATGTTTATTTGAAACACATTTTAAACTGATACATTAAATGTTTTATATTGTATAAATACCCACTGTTTAATGATCACTGAAATTTATTAAAGAAGAACTACCAAACTTTTCCAAAAGTGTAACTGTATGTACGTGTATGTCTGTATGTATGTAACAGCAGCGTGTACGGTGCATTAGTTGTTATTAATAAAGCCAAACTCTTAATTTTAATCGTTTACTAAATATTATCGTAAGAGAGAAAGCACGAAGCAATGAAAAGAAGCACTTACGATATAATGGGCTGAAGAACAGCGTCCAGAGTAGTATCGACAGGAGGGTAGATTTCTTGATTTGAAGACAGTTCATAGCGTACCTCTCCCGCTAATTGCATTTGCGGCTATACCAAACAAAACTATTTTACTAATTTACTACGCAGAAGGTTGGACGATTCAACACACTACAGTTTCTAGCGACAGCATTTTCTTTACGTAGGAATAGAAGAAAAATTAACTAATATAATAAAATGCTGTAACTAGTAGAGGAGGAAATAGCAAGCCCACATATTTGTAAAAGCGCTTAGCGTGTCTAGAGGCTGACCTATAATAAGTGCAATCTCAATAAGGGCAATTTGGAACTATCATTTAAAATTACAATAATCCGTTTCTCTTTTGGAAGCGATAAGCTTAAACTACTTGAAGCAAAGTAATACTCATTACCAGACTGCGGACTTTATGCATTTATAGAATAAATGAACGTACAGACTATATGAAGACTGCATGTAATCTATAAAAATATATAAAACATCGAAAGCTATTTAATCAATTTTAAATGGATATCATAAATGTGTAAAAATCCTCAGTCTATTTATTATGTTTTTAATAAATAAACTATACGAAGTAGAAAATAATGAGCTCCACTTGAGAACTGGGCGAGACGCCGTATGAGGGGGGAAAGCGAAGAAAAAAATACGTACTACACGTGTAGGCTTAGCGCTGTCCGCGGAACTTGAGCAGCAGCTTGAAAATTCCTGCGGTGTACTTTCCCCGAGACCGCTGTCCACGTTACTTCCTATCAATATTCTGTTGTTACGAGTATAATAAAAGTCCCTCCTCGCATTGCACTCGCTCCTACTACCGTCGTAGTACCTCGCCTCAAGCTGGTTCGGCCGGGTCGGCGGCAAGTTATAACTCCCGTCGCGACAATGCTGTATCATTCTTCTGTTTCTTTTCCCGGCGGATCCGATCGTTCTGAAAGTGATTCCTTGACAATCTCTTTGGGACATCACAAGTTTCAAGCGTATCCCTGATCGGGCACCATTATCATCCCGACATCGATACGTACTTGAATGCGTTTTAGTCGAGAACATGGGTTAATACGTACACTACGAGCCGCATTATGTATTACATTCCTTAGCGATACACATTTCATGTTTATTTGCAATACAGTTTTTCCATTCGTCGATCACTATTGCATACACATTTGTAACACGTCTGTTCTACGAGTGGATCGATAGGAATTGGGGGATTCGAATAAACTTGCACAACGAAAACTTTCAATTTCAATTATTCGTCGCTCCCATATACCGGTCACATTTACTTAACGATTAAACACAATGCATTAAACCACATAAGAAATACATAAAACACAGAAAAACAAAAACACGCACTACAATTCTTTTTATTCTTAGAACGTACAGCAATTCACGGGGTAGCAAATCCGCGGAATAGAGAGAAGCATCAGTGTAGGTGCCAGCCAGGAAATAAAATAAACAATGTGCGACAAAGCCTGTTAATTTCATCGATTTATTAGAGACGGTCCTGTCATGCTTCAAATAAATAATACAGGGCATGCTTATAAAACGTAAAAAAAAGACACGTACATGCTCTAAATAAATTAAACAAAAAAAAAAAGAGAGGACACCGCATGCAAAGAGGAAAACTTTCAAACAATGACTACGGATCCCGTCTCATCCTCCAGCTGTGGAGGATGACTGTGGACGTTGCAGGCCGTCTTGAGATCATCGTACCTAGGCAGGGACGACGACTCTGCGTCGTCCAATCGAGAATTGCTAGACTGTAGGTTACACTGTTGCGCCGCTTGCGATTGAACCACCGTGTACGGTATCTCCCGTCGTTGTTGTTCGCTCATCCCGGTAGTATCCACGAGCCCAAATTCCAAGTGTCTGAAAAATCCAACCATTGTTTCATTGTTCCGCTGTCATTAATGTTAGCGCATACGAAGCATCCTTATTAGAAGTGTTGAATCCATATGCACATCTTTCATAGATTCCAATATATTCCTGAAAGAATAGCGTTGTTATAATTTTGCAAAGAAGACTTACTTCCTAAGCTCGTCTGGCAGTTGCTTTTGCGAGGGACTTCGATGTCTACTTCTGTGCCGCCTTCTCGGTTCCGTATGGCTCACCTATTGAAATATCCATCGTATTAAGCACGGTCGGTATCAAAAAATAGAAATCAGACGTACAAGCAGGAGAATTACAAAAAACTTGGCGTTATTATTCAAACTTACCACGGCTCGTTGAACTCCTTCGCCCTTCCGCTTCTGCGCCTCCCTCCATTGCGGCTCGGAGTCCACCAATTCGTGTCTGAAAAGATTTAAACATGTACGCATCCAGCAATTTATAAAGTCGGAGATATCCGCGAGAGCGTATTATTCTAAATGATGGTAAAAACCATTCCGCTCGCGATTTTCTTCATTGAAAACGTGGCGAAGATTTCGTTAGGTCGAGGTTGATACTTCCCAGGCGCGTCGTCATTAAAATAATTATCACCTTTACGCGCTCTATGTACCCTACCGTGAGAGTATAATGAGTATTACGAGGGTGTTTCTTTTCCCGTACTCATCACGGTCGACGAACCCGAGCCAAGACGTTCCGACGGGTCGTTCCATTTTCGCATCGCTGTCTAAGGAGCCTTTATTACGTCGATTAATTACCAATTAGATTAGAGCAGCTTGAACGCTTAATTGTCTTCATACTCGGTAGCGCATAACGAGGTTGAATAAGTCAAATAGATTCTTACGGTACTCAATCCTCATTCTATTTATTTGATTAACGCGAATTGAGTCATGAGACAAAATTATTCAAGCGCATATCAAAGAATGATCTTAACTGAATTTATATTAGAGGATAATTAAAATCAGGCTAGTTTCTCAAATGAAATATATTACCTAGACGAACGAGAGCTTCTATGCTTCCGGCGATGCTTTCGATGACCCGATCTGGTGTCCGAGCCTCTAGAAAGCTCGGACTCGCAATCGGAATGACGGCTGTGCCTTCGATGACTATGACTATGGCTTCTTCTGCGATGACCACCGCGGCTGTGGCTGTCCCCCGAACTTTGGCTCTCCACAGAGCTGCTCCGCCGTTGGAGTCTGCTCAAGAGCTGCAAGACGAATAGCAAGATGCATAAGCGAATTTTACATGCATTTCATTACATCCGAATGTTATTCATCAAACATATACAACATATTTATTATTTCAAAATGGATATAAGAGTTGAAGTACTCACTGCTGGTGCCGTTCCCGCGGAGCGGACGGACCGAGGACTAGACGAAGTGTAGAGACCTCGAGGTTGACTCTGAGTCCAAGGGGCGCTCCTGGTACTCCTGGGACTCGAGTTGTTCGCCTGTCTCACGGTTTGTGCACCGCACAGAACGTTCCCTGGGGTCGGGTTGCTGTTCGGATTCGCGTTGACCGTCGCGGGTGTCTCGACGAAAGATCCGACCATCTCTTGTCCCTCGACCACGCGACGCTGCGCCCTGCGGCTGGGTGTCCTTTGGAAAATCGGTGGTGGATTCCGACGAATTAGCGTGTGCTTCTCGAACCCGGATGGAGGACTGTACGAACGGAAACGGGAGTACGGACTCAAAGGTGGCGGCCCCGTGGCCATCAACCGGAAGAATGCTTGGTGTTCCAGGCAACACTTCCATAAGTGTCTACAGGCACCTTTTGACGGGGTCTCGAAACCATGAGTCCTCTCTTCAGAATTCTTCTCGCTGACTCTCAGCATAAAGTATCTACCCTGAAAAATAGATAATCCCGGATATACTGACTGCGTGCAGTAGATTCTGCTGGTTCCATGTTATACTGGATGTACAGGGTGTAAAGAAGTATTTGGTCTTGGAAGTCATAGGCGTATTATAAGTTTCCGGATCGGTGAAGATCTGTGGAAAAAAAGTTAACGCAAAATCCTTTAATTTCAAGCATTGTTTTATTGCCTTGTTTTATGCGCGTCATGGGGATAAAAGAACTGTGAAAGAATTGAAAAATTTACGACATATACCAAAACTTAGACCTTAAAATTTAAGATCAAGAACAATTTTGTAACTTTTTTTTACAGATCTTCACCGAGCCAAAAATATAAAATACGCCTATAGTTACCGAGGTCAAACATTTCTTTACACCCTGTACAGAGGACAATATAATATTTAGTTAATTAGTGAATAAGACATTCCTTCTCAATATTAAATATGAGTTACACAATCTCATTTATAAATGAATAATTTGCTTACCTTGTAATAGATCTTGTTAATTCGTGGCCAATAGTAATTCCCTACTTTGGTCTTGTTGCGCAACAAAATAATTCCGCTCGGCGTCAGACCCAGAAAATATTCCACACTATCCTCGCCCTGTATTTCCAGAAATATTGTAGCGTTTCGCTATGACACGACATTCACTCGAGAACTTTATGAGACTACCTACCAGCACGGGATGCAAATCGACGCCATACATTTCCAACCATTTCACCTTGTCCAAGTAATTGAGCTCCGCGGCGGATGGTAATTGTCCTCTAAAAAACGAGACCATTTTCACTCCGACTCCGGATTGTTCATTCAACGTTTTATACAATAAATACGGTTCCCTTGATAACAAAGAAAAAAGAGAGCAAAATGTTTGCACGTACACGAGAGTTTTGTGAAGTTCCACTATACGGTTCTCCAGTTCGGTAGTCTGATTGGCTAAGAACCGAAATTCGGTAACGTAACCCATGGAATGTCGTCTTGGGTCGTAATCCCCGAGTTCCGCTAAAAAAATATTTAAAATCGTTCGATTAACTGGTTATCAGAAATAAGATGAGTATATCATATTTCCTGTTTCATAAAATGTTCGATTAAACCGTTCTAAAAAAATCGTATAACCGGTTAATGTTTATAATGAGTTACAAATATTTAATGTTTCCTCGTTACGTAATTCCATACGTCTTCTTTATACGAGCGCACATAATATGTACGACTGCGTTTGATGCGCGTTCGCCCTGGAACACGTTCCCGATTTATTTTCAAGGTACGCATTAAGCAAATCGTCCGGTAACACGCATTCACTCCGCCGGCTCCGGATGCTCGCACGCATTATCTACGCCAGGAGGAAAAGGACGATAGCACGTTCATCCTGTAATCTACGTACGCACGACTCGTCGCTACGGCCGTCCCTTTTTTTGTACCCTGCTTCTTCTTCCTCCTTTCCTCATTTCTTTCCTTTTACCTTCATCCGATTCAAGCGCAATTGTACGGATTCACGCGCACGCGTTGCCATAACAAAGGAGCAAAAGCTTCATCGTTCATTTAGAATAGGCGTAAGGAAATTAGATTATTTTCATTTTATGAAACATATTTCAGGAATAAAATTTTAAATCTTGACGAATGAACTGTAGTAGAAGTAATCGAGTTACGAAGGTAGTAGATGAAAAAAGAATGACCAAAATAAGATAAAATTCAATTTTAGGTAAACCGGAGATTTCAACGTCTACGCAACTCATCGCGCGAAATCGAATTTGCATCAAGAATTTCCTCCATCCGTCGGTACTTCTTTCGCTTGTTGTCCTCCGGTTCTCCAACCGGCCTTCCCTGTCACCGTCAATTCCCGTAGGGTGCATCATAGAAATGCCCCTCTGGAAATGATCCCAGTCGCTTAATTGAATCACTGACTTTGATGAATATCAGCTCTGACCGGTACGATGGGGGCACTTCATTTTCTCTCTCTCTTCCTATATTCCGCCGCAGAATCACCGCGTCTCCTACTCGACTTCTTGCGTGCCCGTTCGGTCGTGTAATTACGAGACCGCCGGTCGTAGACCGCGAAATGATCGGAATCAAGCCGCAAAACGCGTTATCAGAACTAGATATCCGGGTCCGATCGATGAAATTCGACTATAGGAACAAAATTGTTTACAGGAATCCATAGAATGCTACGTGCACAATTATAGGATAAGAAACTCCCAGGCAACGTTTATAATACAATTTGCTAACGAGACATTGTATAATAATTTATTCTGAATTTCAATTTTTATATTAATTGAACGTATCACTCTTTGGCATTTCAGACATTTTAAGTTGAAAGATAGTAAATGAGACGTAATAAAATATTTATTAATAGAATTGGTTACGCGTATTTTGAATGACTTTACAAATGCCAGGAAATAAATCGCTTAGAACGTATCGCGTTGCTGACTCATATGTACTTACGCGAAGCAGCGTAAATTGTGGGTAATGATACAAGAAGTTTCTCTTTACTTGTTAAAATGTCATCAAATATTATGATTAAAAATTGTTGACGGGATACAATACTATTTTAATTAAAATATGTACTACACAGCCTAAGACAAGCCACTTGAATAACTTCTACATACAAATTTTAATTGCAATACCTCCTAAACTAGCTTCTCAACGTACATAAATTAGTACTTTTTTGATAAAAAATATCTGCATCGTTTAATATATAAAAATATACCTCATCCTATCTAAAAAAAGAAAGTTGACTTTCAAATCTCTTAAGCATCTCCAAATGTAGAAAAATTATGTACACTACATAATATGTCCCTCGAAACCAGACAACTTCGAAACATTTCTTCCTATCTCAGAAAATGTAGTAGTTATTCAGGTGACTTGCTTTAGGCGACTCACCCTCTATAATATCTGTCATCTATTTAGTTAATAATAAGTTGCTCTGTTGGAAATATTCTGGTAGTAAAAGAGGTAGTGTTCAGAAATCCAATGTCGAGAGAAAGGCACGAAATGATAATTTTATTCGGTCTTTATTGAACGAGAGGATGCACAATTAAGAGACACCGGGGTGGCAACAATAACACGCGCAGGGTCCGAACGTACGAAACAATTAAGTTCCCCAGATACGATTCTATTGTTCGCGCTTCAACGAGGCATTCCTGGGCGTTTTCATCCTCTCCTTTGGGAGAGCGGAAGGAACCGTGAAACTACGCGACGAGGGGGTTAAATTAATTTACAGGACGAAACAGCGCCCTAAGAACTCATCCGAACGAAACAAGGAAGTAACAGTAAATACAGTAACTCAGAAAAGTATCTGATCATTAGTATTAGCAACTTCTACAAGCAATTTTATATTCTATCAGATACACCGCGATAGAGATCATTGCATTTCACAATTTTTTTTATTACTTTTATGAAAAAATGGAATGTATAAAAAATATCAACCCTAATACATAAAACCATGTATTGCAAATATAAATATTACAGTGAATAAACGATAAAAGAAATCTTTATGTGAAATCGACTTTTTTAATGTTTTATTTTGCATAAAAATTTAAGGGATCTAGCATGAACTTTCTTAAGTCATTGTACGGCTAATGGGATTCGCCGGAGACGAAAGGATGCCCGAAAGGTGTTTTCGTCGCCGTTGTAATGGCATTGTACGCTGAAAAGCTTTTACTATCTTGTTTGAGATCTTCGCGAAGTTGGACAACGTTAGATAAGCGTGCTTCTGGCTCTCCGTTCGTACAAAACGGACTCGGCTTATTTCTAGAGCATAACTCCAATATTTGCGAAAGTCGAGCGGGGTCAAAGGGTGGGCCGTCGTTTCCGACGATTCATTGCTCGAACAGAAAAACGCGTTACCAAAGAGTGACATGTCTTTAAGAGTTCACCGAGGGGAGAGCCAGAGATAAAAATCGTGTGCGCGTGTATGAGTAGGTATCCCTGGTTAGCGAGTTGATTAATATTCGTCGTTAAACTGTCCTCATGGCGAAATTACTTTCCGGCACTGAACAACCGCGTAATTGCGTATGCTACGTGTATAACGATGAAGTTTCGTTTTTTTTTTTCACTTCATTCTTTCGTGGCCTTCTATTTTCATTTGAAGAGGAAAAAGGTCTCCGTAATTGCTGCGTGCAATGCCTCGAGCCAAGGAAAATATGGAATATTTTCTAGGGGACGGTTGCTCGCTCCAGTTACATAAACTAGATATTTATAAATAAATTAGAGAGAAATATCCAACGAAAAATGATTTGTATAATAACAATATTGATTTTTGCTCCTGGTTCTATAAACCGTTGTATCATATTTTTCAAATTAATACAGCCGTACGCTAAATGACTCAAAGTCAATACGTGTACGTGCACACATATATACCATAATTATTCTACCTCTTCACACCTCTCCTGATGCCTAATATTTGCTTATCATTTAACGCTTGAGTGTTTCATTCATACCTGTTAGAGGTGTTCGGCTCTCACACGGTAGTTAACAGCGACAACTATTAAGTTTGAAGATTTAAGTACTAGTCAGATTTTATTTCAGACATCTAAGAGAGCACACAAAACGTAGTTTATCCCGATTTCGCTAGATAAAATGCGTGTCTCATCTTGAACTTTCTTCAACAACTGCGTTCGCGTTGTCAACGGTCGTACCTTGAGACCGAAAGAAAGGGCATTCATTTCGTCCCTTTTGACGGCGATGAGACGCAAACACGCTACACGACCGCGCGTATCTTTTTCGCCCGTTTCTCTCTTCTCCCACCTCCGCCGTATCTCTGCCAACCCTTTCTCTATTTGCATGACTTTGAATCTCAGCAGCAGATAACTAACGCGCGCCAGCCTCCTCCTTTCGGTCAGTTTCCTTCTCCTTTTTCTCATCGTGCCATTCGCGTGGTAAGCATCAAACGGAAACGCGCCGCTGCATTTCGCAATTTTTAATCATTCTGATGCGTCCCAAAATATACTCACTGCTCCAGGTTTTATGCATTTATAAAAAAGAAAAACTAGCGTCACGGTTTTTCCCGCAATACTTTTGACAAAAATACGGTTAAATACTTATATGAAGACTTTATGAAATATCTTATGTTACGTAGAAGTCTACAGTCAATGAAAAGGTAAATTTCCAAACGTAACTGCTTATTTATTAAAAGAAGTTTAACTTTGAACAAACGTATAAAAAATGCACGTGTCGTAAAGGACGAGTCAAACTCAAAGGGGAAGATAAAGTCTCTCACGAAGATTGGTTCCTTTCTCGATTCCATCAGATGTTCGAACGACACTATTTGGAAATAGAAATAACTGTCTGCGAAGGGAAAAGTTCGAAGTACTTTAGGGAAGTTTAACGCGCACGTATGCGGACGTCTCTTTTCGCCGGTGGAATTGAAATCACGTGCAGTTCAAAGATAAACCCCGCCTCCTGCCCCCCCTCATTCTTTTATATCGACTTTGTCGAATCATCCGATAAGACATTGTGTCTGTAGTCGAAGGACGAGGAATCTAAAACTTTTAAACAAGGGCCGCTACAATTAAACTTTTATTTCTTGACAAGTTAAACGTATTTTACAACGAATCACCTTGTGCAATTATTTATAGCAAATGGAACACGAAAATAAAATCGTGAATGTTATTTTTTCATGTTGAAATCACATAACCAGTGGATTTAACTTGCAAGCAAGAGATAAAAAAAATATTCATCTCTCAGCAGAGATTTACATATTTTCCTCCAGTGTTCACAATTAAGCCGACGCTTTTCAGCAAGGAGTAATGCGTTGGGAAAAAAGCGTGAAAATGCGGTGATTTTTCACTTCGACGTGCTTCACACCTACACTTGCGCCTCTTAATTCTCAGCCGCGAGATGGAAACGTGGATATCTTCTCGTAGCATTTCTCGCCTATATTTTAAATCACTGAACGTCCTTCTTTCATTTTAATTGCAAAAGATTTATGAACTTCGGTAAGTCGAGTTTGTATTAAAAACAAATCTAAGATGTATATACATCCATTTCGCACAAGCTTTGATATTCTTACATAAAATTGTTAAATTTGTATAGGAGGTAGAGAAAATCATTGTAGATGGAATCTCAATGGAACTGATGGCGTTGCCCATTCACCGGACAGGCGACAAAAGAAATGATTGCGAAGGGTAATTTCGACGACTGGCGGTTTCGCGTGCCGCGTGGGTGCATAATGCGGCACCCACTATGCAATTTTGTTTAGATTCTCTCGGAAATAAGCGTGTCCGCGCGCCGGGCTAGGCGTTGCCCCGTGAAATTTCCCCTCCGCGGAATCCGCCGCCTGTAACATTTCATCATTCGGTTCCGACTTGATAGCCACAGTGAAACACCGTGCAATTTGTACTAAAAACGTTATTTGTAATATTTAAGATTTA